GTGACCTGGTACATAATTGGCAGTACTCCAGCGCACATAGAACACATGGGACCATTCCTAAGGACACCACATGCACTCGCACACACCACACAAAACGAAACTACTAACGTGCACCGTCCAAAACATTTTATATTTTACTAGCAATGTCAACATAGGAGAATTAATTTATAACAACGTGACAATAGCACACAGCATGTCATTACCATGCATTACTAAATTCAAGTCAATTGAGACGAACAAGTCAACAGGTGAACATGCATCACAAAGTTACCTATCTGGAAGAGATCAGATTGTATCTCGAACTCCTACAAAATATACAGTTACATCTACATTGTACTTCAAATGTACCTAGCTACATGATTGTCCAGTGTACACATAGACCTCAAGTAAACTGAAAGCAATGCGAACAAAATCTCAGATGTATGTGAAAAAGTATCATTGTTCCGAATAAGAACACTTACAATGTACTCTCAAAACTAGTCTAATTACTAGTGTCCCTTGGTCAAGGATGTTTGCGGCCAACGTTAACGCCAAAGCAGCAGCGAATCAGCTAACTTCCGTACCGCCCAATAGGCAACACTAACACCAAAATGCCAAGACATATTCCTGGAACTGCAAGTAAATCTGACACAAAACGTTCTATCATTCCACGGAGAAAGCTCCTTCCGATCTTGTTCGACCCTTCATTCATATGACAGCTGATTGGAACCTTCCTCCTCCCTTGACCATGTTTACCTTATTTGTCTACAACTAGGCACGTGGCATGTATGAACTATAATAAACACATGGTGCGTCGTGCATTATGGCTGATTGTATGCCCTAGTGCGTAGCCCTCGGTCGTGCACCGTAGCCCGCGGGCCTGCGGCCCTTGGGCTACGGTGCACGACCTCGGGCTACGCACTAAGCCATAATGCCCTCCGTACCATGTGTTATTATTATACGTAACCAATGGTGCTATCAGATCCTCTCTGATTTAGCCACCCACAGTAGCAAGTATTACCTTCACTGGGGGCAGGTGTGAATGCAGTTGGATCCCGGGACGGATTCCATGATGCCGTCAATCCCTTTTCTGCACCTTGTCCTCACCCACTTCCTGAGGTGTGGTGAGCCCATAAGTGGGATCATTTCAAGTCATTTCTAGTTTGGGGATTTCAAGGGGTGTCGGCCGCTGGGCGGCCCAATAGTTAATTGAGTCATCTTTCCAAGATTAAAGGGGAAGTGCATCGATTTTTCAAGTAGGGCTCAGATGAAAGACAATTGGATATCGGTTCCGATGGTATATCTCTCGCTTGGGTACGGCAAGGGAAACTTGCCATATCGCCGATTTCCTGATCTCGTTTCCATGGCGACTACAGGGTGATGACGCTCATTCTGCTTAGCTCCGTGAGATCGAGAGAGAAGGTCGATCACTGCAGAATTGTGTAATTTTCAGTTGTCTTCTTGTATTCACGAAGTGAAAGAAGTACTGCGTTCAATGCTGTTAGTGCCGTGAACTGTTTATTAGTAGTCCTCTCCGTTGTGTACTGGGACGTGACACCAACAGGGGAAAGCTGGAGTGCGGAGACTTTAGCTGGCAAGCGAAAATCGTGACGAACCAAGTGCTGAAATCTTGGTTGGGACAAATCAAACGTTCAGCATTTACCTCAACCAAGGACCATGCCATTTGCTCTTTCCACTTCCTGAAGATGGATGCGCTGCCTGCTGGAGACTCTCCTATCTCTCGTAACATCTTCTGAAGCCAGGTGAGACGACGAGTAGCGGAGATTAGCGAACGAAATAATGTCGTATGTTTTGAAATTTTTGCTGAACATTTCTCAGGAGAGATGGCGAATACCAAGCATCTTCTCCTAGTCTAGAGAAACCATTTCGTAGGCTACATTCCGCCTAGGGAAATGGCTGGGGAGGACACACTTGGAGGAGAACGAAGTAAGTGATCTTGTTTATGTTGTTCTTTGGAATTGCAATCTTATGTTTGACGAACATACGGCATGGTGCATAGTTGGTCGTTGAGTGCCTGCCTGTGCATGTATAAGTGTGTGCTGATAAACACTTCCTATGCAAGAATCTGACACTCATGCTTTCTTTCTTTCTTGCAGTATGTGCGCACGTGTGTGTGTGTGTGTGTGTGTGTGTGTGTGTGTGTGTGTGCGTGAGAGAGAGAGAGAGAGAGAGAGAGAGAGAGAGAGAGAGAGAGAGAGAGAGAGAGAGAGAGAGGGAGGGAGAGAGTGTGTGCAGGAGCAGCGTGCAGCATGCCAGTGTGATCGCTGTGGCCGTTGCTTTCTTAGCTGTGGCGTTCTTGCCCGTCACAAGTGTGAGGCTCAGCCCCCAACGTCAGTGGAGCCGTGTTTTGGTGAATACTGTGTGTCCTGCGACCGCTGCTTCCGTTCAGTCCAGAGCAGGAATAGACACCGCTGCTGAAGCTCTCCCCGGCCGTACGTCAGTCGCGTGGCAGATGACCCGAACTCTCACTGTGTGTGTGTGTGTGTGTGTGTGTGTGTGT